CATGAAAAGTGCCTGTCAAGGAAACTTGACAGTTAAGGAATTCTTCTATTACCTTCAATCCTTTGAAAACTGTAAATCTTCAGGTGAGGATGGTCGAACTGCAGAATTCTATAAACAATTTTGGAATTTAATAGGACATTTATTGGTGGATTCGCTCAGTCATTCATATGACACCAGAGAACTCTCCAAAACTCAAGAGCAAGCCATCAATAAGTTGATTGAAAAAAGGGAAAGATAAGAGATACGTCGGTAATTGGAGGCCAATTTCAGTGATCATTGTTGATGCCAAAATTGGCTCAAAGGTGATTGTGACAAGACTTCAAAAAGTGTTACCAGAAATCATACATTTTAAAAAGACTTGGATTCTCGCATGATCGTATGTCGTCAGGTAGTTTGTTTCAAAGTTCGGGGGCTGAGACAGAGAATGTTCTAGACCCAGAGGTCTTAAGGTTAAGGCTAACAGGATTCAGACTGAACGTAGAGGATGACTGAAGCGATCTAGAAGGTAAGGAGGGGGGTGATAAGGTCTTGAATGTAGGTTGGAGATTGCTGTTGCAGAGCTTTGAAGGTAAGTAGTAGAATCTTGAATCTAATTCGTTTAGAAACAGGTAGCCAGTGAAGATCGAGGAGGATGGGAGTAATGTGATGACACTTCCTAGACCGTGCAATCAGTCTGGCAGCTGCATTCTGAACCGATTGATGACGTTTTTAGGGACATTATATAGTAGAGAATTGCAGTGATCGAGTTTGGAAGTTACGAAGGCGTGAATAAGAATCTCAGTAGTTTGCGTTGATAAGTATTTTCTTATGCGCGAAATAGTGCGAACACGATACAAGGCAGATTTACAAACATTGTTTACAAGGGAAAGCATTGACATAGTGGTATCGAAGATAGCACAAATGTTTCTTGCATATGGAGAGGGCTTGATTATATCAGTTCCAAAGCGAAGAGGGGGTAGGGGTTCTTGTGGATTTTACTTTGAGAATAAGTAGAGAAGCTCGGTCTTGTCTTTGTTTAGTTTTAGTCTGTTGATGGACATCCACTTATCAATGTCGGTCAGGCATTCCTCAATCTTAATGATACTGTTGGTTAATTCCAAGTCGTTGTTTGTAGAGAAAGAAATATACAATTAAGTGTCATCGGCATAAAAGTGAAATTGCATTTTGTGGAATCGTAGAATGTCGGCCAGTGGTGCTGTGTAGAGTACATACAGAATCGGTGCAAGGACAGAACCTTGAGGTATACCGCACTTGAGCTCGCGAGACTGCCATCTCCACCCTTCCATTAACGCAAATTGCGAGCGATTTGTAAGGTATTAGCGAAACCATTCCAGAGCTATGTCAGAGATAGAGTATTTAGAGTGAAGTCTTGTCAGGAGTATATCGTGATCTACAGTGTAGAAGGCAGCAGACAGGTCTAAAAGTAGAAGCATAACACAGTGACGTTTATCAATAGGAGCCAAAATGTTATTATGAACAAGCACAAGGTCAATTTACAACTGTGGAAAGGTCGTAACCGACACAAATGTACTACTAATCAAGCAGAATCCAAACGTGTTACCTTTTACACCTCTTGAATGGTTTCATTTTGCGGACCCAGAAGTGGCAAAACATTCATTTCCTATGATAAAATTAAACTCTATCTTAAAAACCAGGCCCTAGAGATCGAGAACGGCGGTCAAGGCCAAATGCGAAGCTCTCGAGGGATGCTTTGGAAAGTGCCTTCCTCAATGAATTATACTTTTGCCGCAAGCATGGAGCAAACTGAATTATACCTTTAAAAAAATTGACCTAAACCTGCGATCAATTAAAAACGAATTACTGCTCAGCGGATTTTTTTTGAAACATAACATCACTTCCACGAGTTGTATACCTGAGCCAGCCATGCAGTCATGTGACACTGCTCAGCGGATACCTTTTTTGATAGCTGTCAATTGATCACAACATGGATGTCCAATACCAAGTATTCCACAGATAGTATTAAAGTGTGTCACTTCGCACCCGCTAACATGAAGGGCTGGAACTATGTACGGACGATTTTCTCACAACTAAAATTTCTTGGAAGCATAGATTACCATATTTTCTTGCGCATGGTGCTCCGCTGTGCGCGCTTCGCGAGCGCGAGAGCTCCGCTATGAAGCTAGACCTACTGAACGAGCAAGATTTGAAGAAAAATTTCCTGATATATAGCTTGATCGGCACGACATCTATGAATTGCCTATTAATGCTCTTATAGACACCAAATCCGAGAATTCCAGGATAGAATTTTAAACCGATACTTGACAACAAACTCTTTTTATTTTAAAATTGGTCTAGCGAAATCACCATTATATACATTTTGTAAACAAGACAGCGAATCCCTTGAGCATTTATTTATTATATGTTCCTTTACTAAGGCTTTCTGGTCAGACCTTTTACTTGGAGTAATCAACTAAACATAATCTTAAGGGACCTTTCAGACAGCGATATACAGGGAAGAAGACTACTTGATTATTAATCCCATGATAGTCTTAGCTAAGCAACATACCGTAAAATTCCGAAAATAAGCCCCGGGACTTATATTTTTCAAAGGCTCTTTTGGAGGGGCTTATCTACGGAGGGAAATTTGCGTTTCAAAATCGATTGGGCTAGGTTTATAGTTGAAAGGAAATCTACCGTTTTTGCTTTGTTGTACTTTGTATTTGAGGGCAATTTCCCCCGGGGGGCTTGTATTTGGAGGGCTGATTTAACGGGGTTTTTTTGCGTTACGATTTTGGGGTCTTCTATTTGGAGGGGCTTATACATTATTTTCCGAACTTCACGGTATTAACGAATACCGTGATAAATGTATTTATCCTTCCTTTACCATTTTTATTGAAATAAGGTCAGTTATGTTCACCAGTTAGAAAAGAAACTTATGAATTCATCTAACAAAGTTGCCGATCAGGAAAGTAAATGAAAATAGTTTCAATTATTCTGCCGTGGTAGTGAGAATTAAATTACAAATAATCTTATATCATATTTCATAGTAGCAATTGTACCTATTGTAGACATTCTTTGTATCAGCCATTATTATATGTAGAAGTTTATTTTGTGTATTTCTAGTAGTTCTTCATTTGTATAGGTGTAGTAGTGTACATTTTATATCATTAATAAAAAATGTAGTAAACTACAAAAAAACCGTCGTGCATTTGTCGTCCAGGGTCTGCTGGCCAGCGAGGGTGTCACGTCCAAGTAGTTGATCCAGCCCTGCGCAGGGCCCCATTGAACCGCAGGTTGATCTGCTTGAAGATGGCGTGAGCCAGGTTGGTGACCACGCACGTGAACCTGGTGTCGTCGTCGTCGTCCGAAGCCGCCTCTTCGTCCGCCACAAGGACGTTGGTGGCGGCCGAGTACAACAGTAGGTCCATGACCAAATAACTGCTGCCTTCTTGTCATTTGCGCCTGCAATAGGGAACGCCTTCCACTTCACCCTCCTTTTATCTCCTGACTAGTGGTACGCACCACGCAGCGCAAGGGCTGTCCTTGAATTCCCTCGCGGACAAGGGGCTTTGGCGGCTTCCACCAAAATGGGTCCACCCAGTCTCCAGAGACTCTCTTGCAGACCCCTTGTCATCCTGCGGACGCAGGAAGGGTGGATGATACGCGTGAGGCTTCCTCCCCTCATGATTAAGGCGGTCGCGGTGGTGGCGCTCCTTTTTTATACCTCCCACTTGAACACGAAGGTGATGAGGGTGCGTCTTGCGAATGGCGTCGTAACGGATATTGGGTCCCAACGCATACTTGTCCTTCACCTTCGATAGGATAGGATAGGATAAGTGCTTTATTATCAACAGAGCGCCTACATACACATGTGTTTACAACGATAACAAAGATTTGCGTGCAATAATTACAGAGGTGTACATTTGTAAAATTTATACAACTATTAAACAAGGTTATTTTTAACGCGTCTATCTCTTTCTCGGAAGCGATCATATACGTATTTAGCCACAATTTTTTGCGTTTTCTCTCCTTGCTTCATACTTATCAACGTTGTAAAGGCAGAGCTTGGAGTCATAGAGTCAAGAATAAGATTAGTTTCCTTTTTTAGCGTATTGAACAGCTCTCTCCTAGGATCCCTATAGGCTATGCAATTCATCAAAAAATGCTCCTCGTCTTCTAATCCAGTTTTACATAATGGACAGATTCTTTGGTCTGGTGGTTGATAGGGTTTAACGTATCGTCCAGTTTCAATTGCTAGTTTGTGGTTGCTTAATCTTAGCTTTGTGATTGCTACTCTATGATTGATGTTTCTTACATTTGTGAGGTAATTTTCGTAGTCATGGGTAAGTTTAAATTTCCTAAAAGTTCTTAGTTTGTTTTTTTGATGCGGGTCCTTTCGTTCATCATTGTGTATTTCGCTAATCCATGTTTGCTGTTCTATGTCTAAGAGTCTCTGTCGTATATAGTTCATGATTGCGGGAGTGTTAGTTTTCGCTGGCCATATGTCACCAAGACCTGCGAGATTTAATAGTCGTTTTAATTTGCTTGACCAATGAGTGAAGCAATCATGCCTTGCAAAGGGCCATGCTAATGTGAACCCAAAGCTCAAAAAAGGTGAACCCACTTGCCAGTTAGATTTTGACTTGGCCTTAGCGTGCACGCGCAAGTCCTCGCCGTCTCATTCGTGCGTGGGTAGTAAGTGATCGTAGCAGCGTTGGTTCCTCTTCTGGGCCACTTGCATCGGGTTGAACTGCAACTGGTTGATGACCGTTTTCATCAGGCTCACCCCATCTACGACGCTGGGATCGCCGGGATGTCCTTTCCCCAGGCGACGTTGTCCACGACCTATGGGTTGTCCACTGACCCGTTGCCCACCAACTATGATCGGTTCTGGAACAGCACCTCGTTCAATGCATTCGTAAGTTGAGTTAATTCCAGTTCGCCTTTCAACTCGATGGGTTGCGCCAGGCGCACCTTGAACGAACTGCTGGTATTGTCGCGAAACTCGTTCGTCTGGTCGCTGACCAAAACCACGTGATTCATACCCCTTTCTTGAAATCCAAAACCAACTGCGTCTCTCTACTGTTCTGGAAGGCCACCAGCGACCCGTCCCATTCACCCACTTCACCTCTATAATTTCCACCGCGTCCCCTCGCACTTTGCCATAGTGCACGTTCTGCGTTTCCCCCCCACAAGGGCTCCTCTTTATTACAGGGGAGGTCCCGCAAGAGATCGCTGATCTGATTGCCCATCATGCTACACTCCCCGGCGTTGAGGCACAGATGCAACGAGCAGAGGGTCGGGCCGCTTCCCCCAAGGGCGCGTCCGTTCGCGCGACCGCGACGAAGGCATCGTTTAAATGCACAAATCACCACGAGCAGACGCAGGAGAAGAACACCACCCCACCGTTGCCCATCATGAACGGTTTGCTCCTGATCTGGTCATTTGGCACATTGAACCTAGAGAAAGTTCAACAGCCGGTCATTGCCCAAGGCGTACGACGTGTCGGTTTTCTGGACGAGCCATTCCATCTTAGTGGCCAACACGGCGTCGATTCCGAGGCGATCGTTGCTGCGAGAGCGAGAGAGAACTATAGCTTTGTTGTTGGATAAGAAATCCTGCGCGGATTTCGTATCATGAATCTGGAGGTTCAGTTCAGTTCTCAGCCCACTGTAGTCTGTCAGAGGACTGAAGACCAGGGTGAGCGCACTCATGGTGATCGATGACGTTTTAGCAGTTGGGGAGCACGCGACTGAGGCCTTTGTAGGCTCCAATAAAAGACCTGAGTCCTTTCACAGTTGGAGGAAGAGGAGACGATGCCACGGCAGCAATACGATGCGGGTATCGTATCGTCCTTGGGACCATATCCAGCCTAGGATGGAGGTGATCTTGGGACGAACGACAGTCTTTGTGGGAGATAGACGAAGATTACACTGATCAAGGGCCTGAAATACTCGTCGCCAGTTGTTCAGGAGGGCTTCGTAGTAGAGGACAACTGCAAGTTTTTCCCACAAAGCCTTCTCAATGAAGTCACCGAGAACGCGACACATCACTTCTTCAAGACCAGTCTGGGACCCAGGAATTCCCATAGCTGCTCTGGTGTAGACGCAAATTCCACGATCGTCCTCTCCTTTTTTTAATATGACTAAAAGACAGTCTCAAACTAAACCTTCCTTATCCTTGAGTCGTTGGAGACTTTTCTTTAAAGCACAAATCTCTGGGTGAAGCAAAATGTCCTAGCTCCCGGACTATATTGTTTGCAATATAGCACCACCTAGAAATATATTTGATTTTTATAGCAAAAGCTTTTTGAATCTATGACTGTAGTATTATTTCACATCTCAACTGCGACTGCATATTGCCATGTCAATGTGCAAATTCGTTATAGGCCATGCTCCAGTTGTGCTAAAATTAAAGAAATGACTGGACAAATATCTGTTCCGACTCACGTGCACTGTTTTGGATAACATGTAGGACCTTTTTTTAATTAATGAAAATCTTTCTACAGGAAGTTGCAATCACGCATGGGGGGTTTTCAGACGAAACCTTTCACTAAATTAAGACTATACTAAACAATAAAAACACTAAATACCTAAAATAGACAATAAAAAGTATAAAGCCTCAATGTTCCTATCTAAAAGATGCTAAAAGATGCAAAACAGCGTTTCTAAAACTGCGAATACTTTCACTTAAACCGACTTGAAGAGGAATCTCGTTTCATTTTTGTATAAGAAATATGAAGAAAGCAGTTGGCCTTTCCTACAACGACATCTGTTATTTATCAAATCCCACGCGTTTAAGAATAAATGATTCACTAAAAAAGTGTTTATTTTGTTCTTTTAAGACCTAGCTTAACCTAAGCTTATTCCTCAATCATCTTGCGGTTTCTGTCATACATAACGAAAGGAACACTCTGCGCGCTGCTACTCGCGAAATTTTTCTCAGTAGAGACCTTTAGCACCAGGTTTTATATGGGAAACCGCAGTTTGCAGTTACGCGTTTGCAGTCTCACCTTGCCGAGTTTTCAAATTTCAGCAAAGCGTTCAGCTCAGTTCATTTCATTTTTATTTAGCCAAAATATAATACAATACAAGAATAAATATAGGAATTTTAGTTGGCAAGGGAGCCCAGAGGAAACCAGAAGGCTTATGAAGCCTGGGCTCCCCACTCACAAATGAATATAAAATTCGCGGAGTGATGGATTAAGACTTTTTAGGTAATGAATTCCGTAACAAGATAGAAACAAATTTTTAACTCTGGATTGGAAGAGAAAACTTTCTTCTGTCAGTACAGCAGGAATGTAAAATCGACTTGAACTAAGCGTTCATTTTTTAGTGCCGTCATGTTGTTTTTCATTAAGTCGAAGTACAGTTATTAACGGTAAGCACAAAATGAGATTAATTTTTCAGCTTCTTCGAATTCGCAATAACCATAAACGTAAACTTAAATTGAGAAATGACTTGGTAGAGACGGTGCTGATTATCAATTATAATCGATCATTGATCAAAAACCTAAAGCAAAGTTATTATCGGTTATACAAATGTTTAAGTGATTATGGTGGAAAATAAGAAAAAATGTTATGCGTGTGAGTGTTTTTTTATGGCCCATAAGTCTACGTGGCCTAACCAACCTTTAACCAATCAGAGACCAGTAGCATTGCATTATACTTCCATATATGAGCACTAAATGAGATGTTACGTGGCGTCATGTGAATTCATTAGTCCCAATAACTGACCGAGCGATCCTTATAGGTCATCTAACCGGAAGTCACGCACCCAAAAAAACCGGACGTGGGTTAAAAAACACCTATTTGACAGGCGAAAAAAGGGAAGTGGAGATAAAATAGTTATATGACGTCATGGGAGATAGAAATAGAAACCATTTCGCGGGTCTAATAGTTAATTGATCACCATTATTGCTTCAGAATTAGTCACCAAAATTATTTTATTACACACTTAAAGTGTCTCGGTATCTCAGTGTCCATCTACAGTCCCCCCGTCTCAAACTTCTTCATTCCTCTTCCGGTGGAAACCAGGCGTAGCTGTCGGGAAAGGTGTTGAACCCCCTATCTTCGACCATACGCTTGTCAAAGACCAAGCCACGCGTCTTGTTCCGACAAATGGTCGTGAGTACCTTGGTGGCCGGATTCCTGTGGATGAACGAGACATTCGGCACCGTCATTGTCCGCCGTTCTTTCTGGGGGTCTAACACCTCGGCTTGGAGAGAGCGTTTCCTGCTTTGAAAGCGAAGCATCTCGCTCCCCCGTACGTTGAGGGTGAGCTCGCGCACCTTTTACCTCCGTCTTTTCTCTCTTGGTCCCGTACCCACAGTTTTTAGGACCACAGGAGACGAATTCAACAATGTGGTCGTGCATCCCATCCCCAGGGTCCAATTCATCGGTCATGTCCCCTAAGAAATTGCCCAGGTACGATCTCGAGTTGTCCGGGCCACCATTTATCACCACTGAGTCGGTGTCAAAGTACAGGGATTTTAGGTTTACCGTCTCCAAATGATGGTACAACCTTAAACGTGCCCAACACGTGGTAAAAGTGGCAACGAAAATGTTTATTTGTCCCCGCTCCGCATCCTCATCGATCTTGTCGAAGGCTACCTCCACACACTCGTCATTCATCACACAGAACACTTGGAGTCCTTGAGAAGTTTCTACAAAATGCCGGTTGACTAACTTGGACCACTTCCTTCTTGTCCTCACGGTCGCCCAACCTGCCCCAAAAGGAACTGAAACAAAGTTGAGTCGCTGCCTCTTTCCCTTTGTTCTCTTACATCTTGTCTCGTGACAAAACAATCCCTTCCCGCAACCCATAGTTGTAAAGAAGAGGACAACTGCAAGTTTGTCGACGAAGCCTTCTTCAATGAAGTCACCAAGAACGCGACACATCATTTCTTCAAGAGCAGTCTCAGACCCAGGAATTCCCATAACTGATCTTGTGTGGACGCGAATTCCTCGGAAGGGTGTTGTTACGCCGCAGTACTTCAAAGAGGTCCTTGAGAAGTTTGTACAAGATGGCCGGTTGTCTAATTTGGACCACTTTTCTCTTGTCCTCACGCTCTCCTACTTGCCCCAAAAGGAACTGAAACAAAGTTGATTTGTGGCCTTTCTGCCTTTGTTCTTTTGTATCTTGTCTCGTGACAAAACAATCCCTTCCCGTAACCCATAGTTGTAAAGAAATGTATTTCGTTCTGATTCTGTTTTATTGCTTTCATCCGTATTGGGTGGCCAACCAGAGGCTTTGGTCTTTTCATTTAGTCAGGTGTTGACATATTGCTCGAACAATTGCCTTTTTTTGATGGGATTTTGGAAAGTGGTATATTTCATGGAGGCGGAAGATGGTGTACCCCTTCTCCACAGCTTTCAATAACTCGGGGGTGCACTAGGTGGCACTAATGGCTCGCCCCTACCGCAAATGTTTGCACGCCCATGTTATTTCCGCCAGCGGTTTAGGCAGTTTTTCTTCTACACAGGTTTTGCACATAGGAAAGATAATTTTGCCGCCACAGCGATACGGCAAAACGTGGTGGTATAGTTGCTAGGGGTGCGAGCGCTAGCACCGTACAGTCTGCGATGTCAAAATGCTACCCAATGTCCTCCACTGCATTGGTGAGGACGGTCGTATGACCCACGGGATACACGTCGTATTTGTTGACTGTCGGATACAACGACGTGACATCCACGTAACGGATTTCCTCCCCCCGGGATTCATTGACTTTGGCATACAACTGACAGGTGCTGGTCCTACCATTAAAGAAACCATCGGGCGGATTCAGTGAGGAGAGGGTGAATTGACGCCCCGACAAAAAGTTGCGAAGGACTGGGTCGGACTTGCCGAGCTCGCCTAGCGACACTACGACTGCGACACTACTCTAACCCCCTTTGCAGAGGAGGGCTTCTTTCTTACAAGTTGCTTGATACAACTCCAGTTTCGTGCGATCCAAGTGGACACTAGAATAGCGTGACATACTGCCATGGAAACAACGCGGACAGCCCTGCCATAAGCAGCAGTAAAACTCGTACACAGTGTTGGTTTTGACCTCAAAGCCGTCCATCTGCAACGGTCGACCACTTCCTGGAGAGTTTAAGATGCCTGGACGGCTAACCTAGTGGACGGTAACATTGAGCGCGAAGAACTGGGTCGATGACGGCTACCTTGGCGGGAAACTTTTCACCTTAAGGAGCAGATTTCAAGTTGAGGACGACAACGTTTTGTTCATCACGGCATCTTTAAGAAAAACTTGTGAAATGATTGTTATTGCTTACGTGGAAGGGCTATTGACGGATGAAGAGTTTATGTTTCTTTATGAGACAAATAAACCAGTTAATTTAGAGCTGCCTTACTACGAGTATGAGGAATTTAACTTTGACGAAAACAGCAGTGAAGCCGAATGTAAAGCAGGGTTTAGGTTTGAAAGAGGAGATATCGAACGTCTTGCTGATGTTCTTCAATTACCACCCACCTTTACGTGTCCACAAGGCAGTGTTTGTGACCGAATAGAGGGCCTTTGCATACTTCTTCGTCGCGGCGCATATCCATGTCGTTACAGTGACATAGTCAGCAGATTTTGCAGAACCAGTTCCTGTTTTGCGTATGGTATCGAACATAGTGCTCAACTATATCTTCGATCTGCATCATTACAGAATCACAACCTGTAATAATTCCATCCTGAATCCATTTGCTATCCAACAATACTCTGACGCTGTGTCTGACAAGGTTGCTGTCCTTAACAACTGTTTTGGGTTTGTGGATGGAACTGTCCGCCCGATCTGCAGGCCGGGGGAACACCAATGGCTTGTTTACAACGGGCACAAGAGGGTACATGCCCTCAAATTTCAGGCTGTTGCTCTTCCTAATGGGCTTATTGGACATTTGTTCGGTCCTTTAGGTAAGACGAGTTATTTCTACAGTCTCTTTTGTTTTTGGTTTTAAGTCACCAGTTTTGGCTTAGAAAATTTTTCAGTTGAACAATTGTTTTTTCAGAGGGAAAGAGGCATGATGCTGTGATGCTGGCCGACTCTGATTTTCTCACCAGTTTGGAGCACAATGCTGTATCCCCAACTGGCCAACAGATTTGCATATACGGAGACCTGGCCTATCCTTTAAGGCTAAATCTCATGGCACCGTTCAGAGGGGCCGCCCTGAATGCGCAAATGTAAGCCTTCAATGATTCTCTGTCGAATGTGCGTACGTCCGTCGAGTAATTGTTTGGAGACACTGTGGAGTATTTCAAGTTTATGGACTTAAAAAAAGCCTTTAAATAGGTTTAAGCTCGATCGGAAAATTGTATGTCGTGTGTGCCCTGTTAAGAAATGCGTTAACTTGCCTTTACGGAAATTCAACTACTTGAGGAATACTTCTCTTGAATAATTTTAAGTCATCTTTCTACGAACTACTGACAAATAATTTAGCTATGAAATCAGTTAAAGGTAGTTAAACAACATGTCGATAATTCATCGATTTTTTTCGAAGATAAAGGAATCAAACAGTTTATTAGCAGTCAAGCACAATTTTAATAGAAGAAACAAAGCTGCCGAGAAAACAAGACAAAGGCTGGAATTACACTCGCTCTTACTAGAAAAGGCTCAGTAGTCCGACCTCAGTGTTTTCCAATTGTAATAGATAAATAAAAATTAACAAAGCTATACCATGCTCCTTTGAAAGAAAATTACAGTCACTGTAAAAGTTACTTGTTTATCAGTTTCGACAGTACCTCCATCATGTTTTGTTGTTGCTGCTGAATCAATTGCATCATCTCTCTTGCTGCTCAAATGATCGGGCTGTCTCCCTTTCTTTAATCTCTAACTCACTCTTCCTGGCTTCAAGTTCTAGTTGAGATTTTTCTCTGAGAAATTCAATGGAATCATTGCCTCCTCTTCTCTTCTTCTTCTTAAGTTCCACGAGAGCTTCATCTCCGGCAATTCTTGATTTGGTCTGACCATAGTTCTCCATCGCTTTTTTTCGAATTTCTTCTGCTTTGTGCTTGTTTTCTTCTCCTTTGGCTCGCTTGTATTCTTTCTCTTCAACCGGGAAAGATTCTTACAAAGCGCAAATCTCTTCCAGGGCTAGTTCGAGCTCCGAAGTGGGTTCCACGTCAATCCCCGACGAATTACCTCCTCTCGAATTTTACGCTTAAACTCTCCCTTGATTAATTTGAATCGCTCTCTTACAGATCGCTTGTTTACATGGAATTTGGTGGTCCCTCAGGTGTTAAGGTGATTCGAAATTTCTTCCCCAATTTTGCCTCTTTCGACCGTTTTTTTTTTATGGCTGACAGACAAGTCTTTCACGGCAGAGAAGGAGATCGTGCTCTTCTTTCCATGCCATGCTCGCTAATCCTGTAAATGAAGAGAAAGCAGATAAAACAATTTCTCTGATTTCTCGCTACTAACTGACCAAGCGAAAAGAATTTGGAGCGTTTAGATTAAAGTTTAATACAAGATAACACATCTTGCATTCAGAGGATAAGCGGGTTCAAGTGCTAGGGACTTTTTGTTTAGTAAAGCAAGAAAATATAACGCACGTGTTCAGTCGAAATGCTCCACCGTGGTTGTGCATAGTGCACATCACTTTTACAATTTTAACCAGCTTGTCAGTGGCTTTATTGCCCATAACAAAAAAGTGACAATCTTCACTAATGAAGTTCGATAATCTAAAAACATGCGGAAATATATGGGAAAATAATAGTAACAGTACTCACGTTGACTGGAGGACGGCAAAACACCACTTCTCACGTCCTCGGTACAAACAGGACTGCAATCCGCGTGGACAAGTCAAGTGCATTGTGGTCTACACGCGAAATTTACTTCCGGTCAGCCGTCCTCGATGTCAGCCGTTCAGGTATCTTAAACTCTCTAATACACAGTCTGCTCACTACCGTTGAAAGCGTGGTAGATGTGGAAGATATCATCCTGATCTGCTTCTGACAACTGATGTGGCTGCCATTTCAACCACTGGTAAGCTTTCAGGGACTGATTTCCACGGTTACCCGGTTACACGGTTACCTACAAGATGGTTCCAAGGCTAACAATTGCGGTGTCATGACGTTTTTACGGTAATACTGTATGCAGGCTGAGGCACTGGTTACACATGTCTCCAGGGGGTTCAAATCTGCCTCGGCCTGAAATTCCTTTACGAAGATCTGGCACCCTGCTTTCAGCACTTTGACCTCGCAACGACAATAGGATTCCTCTTCTCGAAAAGATTAACCTCTTTGTCGTGGACGCTGTTGTACGACTGGTCAAACTCTCGGCGTTTGGCTGGCATCATACTTTCGGGGTCATAATGCTCCTTGGCAGGGCATGAACCCTCATACGATTGGCTCGTTTCAGTGTTAAAGAAATAAGGAACAAACCATTTCTTTTCCTCCGTCAAACCAAACGCGGAAGCAAAGGCTGACAATGAAAAAGAAAGAACATACAGACTGTCCTTGAACGTCAATCGCCCCGTATCTAAGCTGAACATTTTGGCCCCCACAGGTTAGTTTCGCGACATCACAGCCATGGTCGTACAAATATTTCAGGATGAAAATATTGTCATACCCTTTGAATATGGAACAGTACGATGACTCGACGGGGCATGTCCAAGACCATGGTTTGGGTGGTCACCCATCATAAAATCGATCCATGGAATCCCGTCCTTAAAAATTCAACGGCTGCGTCATGTCTTCTCTCATGGCACAAATTAAAATGGGCACATGTTCTTGCTCGTCTTGCGTAATCTCGTAGTCGGCGTGCAAATCAGGGTACACAGGAAACCAAAATGTGACACCCACGGGCATTTTAGTCTGATTTTTGGCAACATAACCATTCTTAATAACTTTTTAACGCTAATTACGAAAAGCGTTGTTGCCAAGTTAAATTCTTATTAAGGTGTAGTTTTGGGCATTTCAATATGACGTCATTGTCCAAATAAGGAGTTTTCTTTCCTTTAACAAATCTAAGTTTAATACAGACAAAACGTCTTGTAAAGCGTTATTAAAGAACTGGAAAGTTTATTCTAAGAATTTATGACTAATTTTACGTTTGCTTACATTAATATGGAGCCCTTAGGTGACAGTTGACCACGCCCCCTTATAGAAAAATCACCTTGTCGAGTGTATATTTGACACTTTTGTTGAAAAACATTTTGTTTTAACACTTGGGAATACATGTACAAATTCTTGTTTATCTTGTACAATGTTGGATCTTAGTAATTTCACAATCCACTTTGTCTTTCTTGGCCTCTTGATTCTCTTGATGGTGACTTGGGTTGAATTCATGTAAAATTATCAAGTTTAACATAACAGAACGTTGCTTCATACTCTCAGGTTTCAATCTGTCCATATTGTTAGTCAATAATATTGTAAATATTGTTAACAAATCTTCTTATGTCTTGAAAAACACATTTATGCAGCAGTAAGCGTCGACCTCAGTGCATCCATATTGCCCAGTACACACGACATGCGACTTTCTGCATTTAAAGTCAAGAGTTGCGCAGCCAATGGTGCACCGGCATAAGGACAAGCCTCCGCGATTCAGATGAGGGTCATTAAGACAGGGACCAATAGATGGCTTTAGCTGGCTTCTAGCCTGTCTTCGGGAGCAACGGTTTCGCAATGTGTGCCTGACGCCAAACCGAAGTATGAAAACAGTATACCACCTCAGTTTAACAGGTTTTGTAAGTACCGGGACACTTTTGCCTTACACGACATCAACTGCCTGCAGTTGCTGAGTGATGCTTTGGGTCGGGATTTACAAGGGCGGGCAGAGTTGTCGGCAGGCCCCAAGCTTGCGTAATGCTTTCTTTTACTTGGGCCTCTTTGCCAAGAAGGTGCCTGTGTTGCGTGGAAGGTGTTCTTTCCCTTTAGTGACGAATAGCCGTTGTCAATGTTATCAGGTGTCAAAATCAGTGAAATTGTCCGGGTTTAGATTAGGTGGGGCAACGTTGCCGTTCTCCTTATTTACAGACAGGACCTTATCTTACGCAAGTGAGGTCTCCAAGTTGAGGATTTCCCTTTAGCTTGATATGCCTCGCCTTGTGTAAGAGATCTACTAACAGCCTTGAACATATCGCCTGCTCCATCGCTAGTAGCGTACACAATACCTTGTGCAATGCTTAAGATAGTTATGTGATGCTTTTGGTCGTTGCAATCACTATGAACGCTGTATTTAAGAGCGGATGTCAGTAAGTATCGACCGGAAGTCTGCAAAAGTGAAAAATCGAAAATTCTCAAAAAATTCACAGAGTAGCACTAGGTAAACTGTTAAAATAAATATAATTTCTACTTCGATCCGATAATTATTTTCTACGTACAGGGGGTTATTAATTTCTCGCCCCCCCCCCGACCGGGTTTTACAGCAGCGAGACGGTGTGTCACGAAAAAGTCGTTTCAAGAATCAAATCAATCGTAATGCGAGCAACAAGCAACTTATTCAGAAAAGTACATAATTATACACATTTTAAGGGGTTATTTACTCAGTTTCAAGTAAAATGTCATATTTTGGAGATTTTTCGTTATTGTCAATATTTTGAACTTTTTCGTTGGATGAAAAAACGGCAAATTTCAAAGCTCAAAATC